ATAGAATTTGGAAAGTTATGAGGTTCATCTTTTTTAGGGTTCAAATATCAAAAGAGAACTTTCTGGAAATCTTTTGAAAATTTTCATTTTAATTATTTAATTCAATATAAATTTTAAAAATTAAAAAGAAATAAATTCAAAAAATTTCAAATTCAGAATTTTTCAAAGGTTGAACATTGTTGATATTAAAAACATCTAAATTTTTCAATTAGTTTAAATTAACTATTTTATATAATGGACAATGGTTAAAATTTATATTTGGTTAATATCTTTTTTCATTTTACAAAAAAAAAAAAAAAAAAGGCATTTTTTAATTTTTCTTCTTAGTTATGGATTAAAAATGGGATTTTATGGAATAAAATTCTGGAATTTACATTTTATCTAAAAAAAAAAGTTCAAAAAAAAATGTAATTCAATATTAAAAAAAAAAATACTTTCTATAAAAAATTATAATTTTGTTTAAACAAAAATGGTTTAAAAGTTTGAAACGTTTGAAAAATATAATCCTTTTTTTTTCGTCTCAGTTTTAAAAAAAGAATTTTTCAGATCAAATTTATCTTTCTAGATTATACAAAATGATTTTTAAAATAAGAATTATATTTCAGTTTTCGTTATTCTAACTCTTGTGCTTTCAATGAGGTAGCTCAATAAATATATAAAAATATTGAATAGTTGCCCCATACTTACTCATAGAACTCTTTGGGAATATAAATAACTGTAATATAAGGAAATCTATATAATTTCGTTAAACTTGTCTTTATCATCTGATCTCATACATTTACAAAGAATATTACTATTTAGATTATATTTCACATATATAATAAAATAGAGAAAAGAACAATGTAAAAATGATGATAAAAAACACGTCTTGGAAAATAATATATCTTGTTTGAAACAAATTAATCATTGGATTTGTAGTTGATTATGAAAACTATAACAATGAAAAAATGGAAATCGAATTAAATTGGAAAAATGGCACCTTTATTCAAAAATTTTTTGGGGTAGGATGGATTCAAACACACAAAAGTACAACAATTCCAACATATATATAGATCTATATATAAATACATCGGAAAGAATATATATATATAATATATATATATTATATATATTAAATCATACAAAAATTAATTTCAATTTGGGACCATACATTTAAATAGATATATTTTTTATATTATATATCTTATATATATCATTCATATTCTAAAATAATAGAAAATATCTCTTAAAGAGGGGTTAATGTGGTCAATGTGAAACTTAATGAAAATTTAATGATACTTGAAAAAAAAATTTAAATCTTCCGGTTTATCTTATAACAGGTTTAAATTTTTCGTTCAAAAAACACTAATAATTTGGGTCCATATAAAAACTCTTATATATATTTATATATATTATTTGGTCACATATATATATTTATATATATTCCAGCTGGATGTTTTCAATAAATTATGTCTATTTGCAATTTGAAAGTGGATTTTAACCTTCAAGATAGGACATCTAACGAAGACCTGTTTAAAGGTGTAATATTGAGGAATCGAGACATTTTTCATACAGTCTAGTTATATGGACTGGTCATGTCTTCAGAATGTCTGATGACAGGATACCCAAAGATCTAATGTAGAGCCAGTTAGATCAGGGCTACAGGAATGTAGGACGCCCATGGCTAAGATACAAATATACAAGCTGAAATATAACTTGTCAGCTGTCAATATACCACATAACACACCTTGAGCGCTTTAGCTTTGGAGCAGGTAGAATGGAGATCAACGTGTTTTAGTGGACTCAGCAATTTTCAATCTGCTTGTCTGAATCATCTTCAAGAAGCGAGAGCAAGATCTAAAAAGGTCAGCCAATCTAACAGTGATCTCATCTCACAATCCTCACTCTTGCTCCATATGTGGCCTCCTTTGTAAATCACTAGTGGGTCTTAAATGCCACTTAAGATTATCGCACAAAATTTCATAACTGAATCAATTAAGTTGTCAGATCCTCATACGTCAAAAAACCAACGGGAGAGTCCATTATTATATTATATATATACGTTATTTTTATAGATGTAAATATTTATTTAAATGATCTGTTTATAATAAATTTATATCAACAAAATTTATTAGCCAAAATATCTGATAAATGATTTACAAACCAATATGACGGAATCGAACCTATAATTTAAACGGATTTATCATATAGCTGACTTGCGATACCATTTAACCTTATAAAGGAATCATTTTTTGGCGACGTCAAATTACTGTTTTTAAACTGACAATTTTTCATGAGTTCTCTTGTTTATTCTGTGGTATCTTAACGTAAACAAATGACATCATATATTATGAAATGGACTATGTCCAACAATTATTTTAATATATTTTCTGTTTATTTTTATTTATAAACACGAATATGCTCTGTTTATAATAAACAGTATTAACAACATTTACTAGTTGATGTGATACCTCTTGTCGACGTCCAAGATGAAATGTGATAATTCTTGTCGACGTTTAATTTTTATTATAATCACTCCTGTGGAATTTTTGATGTTCATTAGGAACGTGATAATCCTGAAATTTGATGGTCAATTGATAAATGTTTTTGTTATCTGGACGATGTTTATGATAAATGTGTTGTTCTTTAAAAAAAGATAAACAAGAATGATTTATTTCTACAAAATGAGATATTTGATTTATTTTTCTGAATTTTGATTCTGTCTGTTTAATAAACTATTGTCATGTTTTTCCCAATTTGCCACAAGCAAGGCAATAATGCCACTAAGACGCAAGGGGCTATTTTGAGTGAAAGAGAATGAGAAAACATTAGAATGAACCGGAAACTCAATCCTAAACAGGAAACAAGGGATACACCTCTAGTCTTGTTCAGACGACGGGGAAGGAATGTAAACCAGGCGGTAGGTGAACCTTTTCATTTTCCATTTTGTATGTGTTCTTTTTTCTGTTTTCTCTATCAGTAAGTCTACGGCAGCTTTCTTATATCCAAGGTGTTTCTGATTTTAAGAGAATTTGAGAAAAATCAGCATTATAGATAAAAGAGAATAAAAGAACGGGGTCCAGTGAGACAGGTGATAACAAGTGATATTACATTGAAAGTCTTGCAGATAAAAAGCTGACTGGAAAGCTAGAAGTCAGAAGAGAGAGCGACGTGCGAGAGAAGAAACTTTCAACATAGAATTTACGGTTATCTGTAGCAACTTCAACTGTAAAAAGAGAAAACATTGCAAACAATCTAGTACTGTCCTTACATTCGTAACGTCGACGTACGAAAGAGGAAAGTTCATCAGAACGATAACTATGAAAATATTTGTAGAAAAGCCACATGGAAGCCACGTTACGGTGGTGGGAAAGTAATTGAAGCTGAGATGCCAGGTCAGGACAAATAATATTGCAAATTATTCTTTGCATTTTTTCAATCGTCGCTACATACATATCAGAAGCATCAGAACAAATGATAAACAAAAGAAGGATAAAACAAAACAAAATATTAGGGATGGGTCCTTATTTATGTGCCATGTTCCTCCCAGGACGTAGGCGAACACAGCTCTCCACAACTTCTTCATTAATTTTGTCTTTCTGTTATTTTTCACCCAAACAATGTTCCACCATCCAAGGGATAGAGTTCTTATTTGTGACAAAGCCTTTGTGAAGTCTAATCACCTAGGGGTACGCTAATCCTGAATAACTAGATAATTTCTTTAGTTTTAATATCTCCCGGAAGAATTATACTAATGCCTCATGAGTAGTTAAAATACAATCTGCATATTGATGGTACCAAAAAGATTACAGAGTAGGCCAAAGAAAAAAAGAGATCTCTCAAAATTATTCACCGTCAGATGGGTCCCTCTTGTGAACAATCGACATGCGACTAAGTGAGCATATTGGCTGAGCAGAACTGTTATGAAAATCATAAATAGCACAAAAATAAATTTTATGTCGTAATCTGGAGGACGCAGAAACAGTGTCTAATGAATGCTTGGAGGAGAGAATAGACTTGTTCTTTTAATTTTTATTTCGCCTTTTTTAATGGATTCCAAACAATGCATATTTCGAGGGAGAATTTGTTGGCTTACTCCTTTAATGTTTATGTCCAAAGGATAGAGGCTCAGATTGAGTAATCGAAGAACCGAGTTCGAATTCCGGTCGAATCCATTACATTCACTTACGTGTAATACCCTTGGGAAAGGTATGAATCCTCTTCTCAGCCCCTCCCCCCAGCTATTGGTAAATAGCAGGATAAGAAAGTTCTATAATTTTGGATGGCAACTGGTTTACTGCATAAAGAAATGACAAACTATTGCGGGAAAAAAATCTGCCTTGTCAGTCATGTATCAGTAGATATATGTTCGCATAAGCATGTATTACGCATGGAACATAACTGATTGACTGGACATGCATGTGGTCTAATGTCTTGACCTATATTATTCAGCGTCACTTGGTCAGTTCAGATCGAACATTTTTGAGTTCATTCATTTTCGTCGATATTCCTGATGCCCTCCCTTGCCCTTTTCGAAACTGAACACTCTTTTTTACCTTCTTTTTCTTCAGAAGTCTCTCTTTTATTAAAATAAGCATTAACTTCCTCGTCGTTTTTCCACGGTAAGACCACTTTGTTCTTTCAATCATCTTTTCTTTTATTACTTTATCACCAATCACAAGGAAGAAATGTTCCCTTGGGGAGGTGCCATGTATTTAGCGCCTATTAGAAATTAAACTCAACTCAGACCTCAAGTGGAACTTGAACATACGATCCATTGCTAAAATACTAGAAAAAATGGTCGGTTCTACTCCAGTAAGCAATCGACTCTTCATGATATCATCTACTTATACAAGGGCTAGAACGTCAAACATGGAGTACTTCTTTTAAGCAATTCACCCCAAACATGTCTGGACTGGAGGGCCTCTAGTACACAAAGGACTACAGAGAGTGTAAGTAAGACTAGGTATAGGGAGAATAGAGAAAAAGGATAAAACAAAACGGAGGATAAAAAGAAGAACGGAGAAGGATAAAAATTTGAAGGAAGAAGGATAAAAAGATGCACGGAAGAGGATAAAAAGAAGAACGAAGGAGGATAAAAAGTAAAACGGACCAGGATAAAAAGAAGAACGAAGAAGGATGAAAAATAGAAGGGAAGAGGACAAAATGAAGAACGGAGGTGGTTAAAAAATAAAATGGAGGAGGTTAAAAAGAAGAACCGAGGAGGATAAAAAGTAAAAGGGAGGGGGACAAAAAGAAGAAAGGAGGAAGATAAAAAGTAAACGGAGAAGGATAAAAAGAACAGAGAACTATAAATAGTAGAACGGGGATCAATCCAACAGAAGATTGACATTACATGTACATTTTTAACATTATAGCTATCAGGGAAGAGGAATGGAATTCTCCCGTCGGCAAGTGCGAGAGAAGAAATTGCTGTGGTAGTAGAGGCGATTACATTTTTACTTTTTCGACAGTAAAATGGTGGCAGCCTAGTAGCACGCTTAAATTCATACTGTCTGGGCACCAATGAAAATAGCTCGTCAGAGCAAATGAGAAAAAATATTTATAGAAAAGACAGAGAGAAACCACATTATGTCGGCCAGAAAGTAACTGGAGTCGAGACCCCAAGTTAGAACCGATCACATTGTATATCCGTCTTTGGATTTTGTCGCGAATCTCGAGATGAACAGCGTGGGTACAAGACCATATATGGCAACAGTATTGAATGCAAGGACAAATGGTAGATTTGTAGATGTGAAGGGTGGACTCAGACGAGAAAAACACTTTGGCGCGACACAGAGAACCAACTTTCCTTCCGGTAGATGCAGCAGTTGATTCAATGTAATTGTTGCACCTAAGGTCAGTGGAGAACGTGAGGCCATGAAGGCGCAGTGAGGTGCTCTCGTGGAGTTGACCATCAACCATTGTTGCCATAAGTGGGCAGGAGCTGGGCGGTCTTCACTTTCCAGTCCGTATACACTCCAAAAGCGTCACCGTGTCTTTGTGAGTGACCATTATTTTCCACCCTACAGCCCCTTTCTCACAGACGAAACCTGGCAAGCCTCTCGTTGCTCTATCGCTACTTCTATGAAAAGTTCTCAGTCGAACTACATTCCTAAGATCCAACAATTCTAAACTTCACGGCTAAGAACTGCCATATCACTCACATTATAACGAACCACCTTCATTACCTTCGGATTACACTCGAGAAGCTTCTACCCACGAACCGCTGCTTTGTAAAACCGACTCCCGAGAGGATGCTTCCCAAATCACACTCTTTACCTTTTCAAGTCTAGGGTTAACAGTTATCCTCCTCATATATCTGTAACCCTCTACCTTGAATGGCTTTCAGGTCTTGTACAGTGGGGGGGGACATTATCATTAAAAAATCGAAATAAAATTTAAATCATATTGTGTACAATCCGTAAGCTTACTAGTACTTTTCTTCTTTTGCTTACCGTGCCTCTTCAGAATTGTGTAGTCATGACTCTCCACATTTTCTAATATGTTGTCGCTCTTGAAAGCACTCCGTTCTGCAATCCATTCACATAAAATTGTCCGGTAGGTCACCAGCTGCCTCACTCTGTTTTTCTTCGATATAAAAAAGAGCATTAAATTTTCCAAGTCTTCCTTTCTCGCTGTGTCGCGAAAACTACAGTTTTGTCTCTCGCTTTCAAAGAAAAAGTGTCCTTTTTTAATTTCATGCTCTACAAGAGTCAGAGCAGAGATCTGCGGTGTGGGGGTGTAATATTCATACGAAATCTTATGCCTTTCGTTTGTTTTTTTCTCGGTTTATTCGAAATGTGATGGAACAGTAATTTTCCCCTAAAGGTTAAAATTTCAGATATACGATTTAGCATTCCTTAGTCAGTAGACTGCACAATCTCTATTACAATAATAAATAAAAAAAAAAAAAAACATCTTATACTTATCTGACCCGGCGTGAATCTTGTTTGTATTGGGAATTCAAACAAAAGCAATAAATATTTGCATAATTGTCTTAATTTCATTACTAATCTTATTTTCCTGTTATCATAAGACAGCTAATTCCATTGTTTTCTTTAAGATTATACACTGAATATCCTCCCAGCAAATGCCAGTTTTAGATCCTTTCTAATATATTTTCTCATCTGGAGTCTTCAAAAATGAAACTTCCGTTTTTTTGTGAATTCAAAAGGAAGTAATACTTGACCAGCTGTCAGTTCGGAATATGAGCCACAACAAATAATCTAAGATTATATCTTTCTTCGCAATTTTTATTAGTTTCGGCGTGCTATATTTGTAGAAAACAGGACACCTGGATCTTGTAACTGGTAATACATTTATCACGCTTTCCATAAATACAGCCAGATGGAGGATTACTTGAGTTTACAGGATTACATTGAAAAACCCTGCGTTAGGTCAAAGTTCGAATCTTCAACACGCCCTTTATTGATTATTTTCTGTGTGCGTGTCCATAACACGAGGGAATTTATTATATACTTTATTTTAAAATGTATGTTTGTACGTGCGTGTGCGCAAACCTTTCGATTAGACAAAAAGGTTTCATATTTAGATTTCAAAATAAAGTGGTAGAATTTTTTCCACACACCTATATACATGGTGTGATGGGTAAATTGTCACCATTTTATATTTCTAATTTTGCGCATGCGCGTTGTTTTTGATTTTGTCAATTGCACAGTATAGTAGGGTCAGTTGGGCACTGTCTGGGAGAAAAAAAAGAAGCCCCATGACGTAATTCATTCCGCCAGAATTTTGGAAACAGCATGCTGTACTGCTTGGCATTCGAACCGGAAACTCCAATACGATCATTTCAGAGTGTTTGGTTGTAAATCTAAGAATGCAGAGGATTAGGAATGATTTGAACGGATCTAATGGTGATTACGAAATTTGTTTGGAGTCAGCACTACTGAGGCGACAAACGCAACACTGCTACTTGAGGAGTGTGCCTGTGGAAGACCCTATGGCTGGCAACAGAACTCAGAATCATGCTACAGAGGCTGGAGAACATAGTCATAACCATTCGCCCCAAAATCTGGCCACCTAACTCCACAGACTGCAACCCCCTTAATTATTATGTGTGAGGTGCAGTTAAGCGAGAGACCCATAAAACATCTTGTAACACCAAAGATGAACTGAGGGCAAAGATTATGGCAGCATTCACCAACTTAAACAAGGAGACCGTTCAGAAGAGATAATGAAGATTGTGAAGTCTTCTGAACACCGTGGTTGAAGTCAATGGCGATTTTATTGAATAAATTTACTCTTTAGTCTTTTGAAGATATTTCTATGTAATTTAGTTAAATATATCTCATAAAATGAGATCAGTCTTTCCACCTATTTATTCATAGCTTGCAGAACAGAAGGATTAATAGCTTTTCCATGGGTATTAGCACCTAAGTGAATGTAATGAATTCGATTGGAATTCGAACTCGGCTTTCCGATTCGTCAATCCGAGCTGCAATTCATTATTCCACGAAGCACAATGCCTCCCGACACACACACACACACACACACACACACACACACACACACACACACACACACACACAAGTTTATGTATAGTGATATATGTGTGTGTCTGTGTATTTAGGCAGCAATCCTTCATTTATACATGTTTCTTTAAAGACAACAGACAAGGTATTGCGATTAAGCTTATTATTTGCTTCTTGTGTTCCAGCAAGTGTTTTCTTTCTCGACACAGGGTCTGTAGAAACTGTTTAAATAATCTGTAATTCCGAGCGCTTTCGTTTATACTTTTAGCCGTTATCAAGGATGATTTTATTTTTGTTTTTTAACTGGGTGTATTGGTTGTGTTTATGTTTCTTGAATTATAAGGATGTTTTATTTTCCGAACATAGTTAGCATATTGTGGCCGTGTTTGTAGTTAATTTTATTGAGTGTTGGCTTTTTCTTTTTTATTATTAAGGTTTCCATTATTTTTTAAATGAAGTTATTATGTTTGTGTTTTCGACTAGTATGTTTCGGATGGAGTCTGGTAAGTTTGTGTGTGTGTTTAAATGGGTTCTGGTTGAGATGTTTTCGGATAGGTGCAACGTAGGGCGTCTAGAGATGCATGTCGTAGTTTGAATGATGTAATTGTTAACTAGTGTCTGTTTTGCAATACTGAGTTCTTTAAGGAAGAGCAGACGAGTGGAGGAATTCTAGTGTGTTCTTATTAGGAAGGTTTTTATCACTGCTGTTTTGTATCTGAGTGGGTATTCAATCTTACAGTGGTAAGAGATCTACTACTGTTATTTTTTTAATGCAATGAGGTGGTAAAAGTGTTGTTACTGTATTCTACAAGGACGTCTAAGAATGGGAAGCATTTTTTTCTAAGTTCGTAGGTAAAATTACGGACATATATATATATATATATATATATATATATATATATATATATATATATATATGTATATATATATATATATATATATGTGTGTGTGTGTGTGAAAAGTGTATATAAATATAAATAAATATATATATATGTATAATTATTTATATATTATATATGGTACTTATTAAGCGCTCAATATCAGAGCTAGAGCTAACATATTTGGTTGGGTAGATGTGAGTTATATATATATATATATATATATATATATATATATATATATATATATATATATATATATATAGGGGTATATATATATATATATACATATATATATATATATATATATATATATATATATATATATATATACATGGGGGTATATATATATACCCCATATATATATATATATATATATATATATATATATATATATATATATATATTTATATATATATATATATATATATATATATATACATGTGTGTGTATATATATATATATATATATATATGTAAATATATGTAATGACATATATATATATATGCATATATATATATATATATATATATATATATATATATATATATAATGACAGGCAACATAATTTAACCCAAATAAATAAATAAACAAATAAACGACTTCCGGTAAAATAACCAGCAAAGTGGACTACCCACAATGCACCACTGACCCAATATATATAAATAGCCGAGAAAAATAACAGCACTCGTGGGCTGACGATTGCGTCTAGCATGAAACCGACTGTCGCCTCTAAGTGTTGACTTCAATGTTCACTTTCATATTTACACACGCTCTATCTCTGATATTGAGTACTTTATCCCATAAATATAGCACACCTTATAACTATATTTCTTTACACACACACACACACACACACACACACACACACACACATACACACACACACACACTGGGTATATTGAAGGAAAGGGAGAAAAGAGAAGGTAGCGAGTAACTTACCTGACGAGATTGTGTGAATTGATGGCGGAACAGAGTTAGGGGGTCTTAGCAAAAGGAGAAAAAAAGCGCTAATCGATAGGAAATTGTGGAGAGCTAGATCGCCTATATTCCGAAGGGAAGGCACAAAAGAAAATATATATATATATATATATATATATATATATATATATATAATTTCTTTGTTGATCTTTAAAGTTTGAAAGCTGCTTTTTAGAGCTCTCATGAATTAAAAATTATCACCTATGGAATTTTAAGTGTCTGATATTCTTTAATTAATAATAATTTTGCTCTGACTTTTTGACATTTTAAAAGTTCTCCCTGGATCTATATCTTCCTGAAAATTCCTTACGGATTACCATATTGTATCATTACTATATATATATATATATATATATATATATATATATATATATATATATATATATATATATATATATATATATATATATATATATACATATATATATATATATATATATATATATATATATATATATATATATATATACACACACACATATATATATCCAGTGGATGAGAAGTTAGAACGTTCATGTTTTTGGTCTGGACGATCACAGCGGGCGGCATCATACTGAAAATCATACCACAGGTTGACCCAAGCCATCTGATTGGAATTGTGTAGACAGGAACTTGGAGGCCGTCGACAGCTGTGCTAGCACGAAGTCACAAGTCATCGTGACCGAGGGTTTGAGTGTGCTGATTTTGTTCAGATTGTTGATCACGCTAGAAAACACGTTTTCTCCGAAAAACTGTAATTATGGTCTGCTCAGCATAGCTGAACAAACACATATGTGCCTGATCGAGAATCTGCAATAGGATTGGTTAACTGCCTTTCTAGAAAGAGTATCCTCGAATACAGTGGCAAGCTATTATATATATATATATATATATATATATATATATATATATATATATATATATATATATATATGCCCATATGTGTGCGTTTTTTGTGTGTGCGTTTAATGTCTACGAACTGTATTTATATCTGCTATTCTTGCCGATTCAGATAAATGCTTTCCTTGCAGACATTATTTGTCAGAAACATATTTCCTGAACGCCAAACTTTTCAACTGATCTGAATCGTTAAAACCATCGAACATAGCCCCTTTGCTTTACTTCACTCCACGTCTGACCTGTCCGAGAAGAGAGCAAAAATAAAAACCGCTTGTGACATCAAACAATCATTTCCTTTAAATCTAATCTCTGAACAAGTATTTGCCCAAGAATGGACATTGAATCTCTGTAGATCATTGGAACAGTACATACGGTGGTCGACATTTTGCACTAAATGCTTGACCTGTAAAACGGCATTTAACATGAAATTTACCCTTCCAAAAAGTCGATTTTCTATAAGGACATGAGCGATCATGACTCTATACAATGTCGTGTTTTCTGTCGCGTGATTTAAATTTTTATCCCCTTTACGATCACCATGTTCTGTAATCCGTTTACAAAAACTCTTTTAGTACCATTTCGAGTTAATACAGCATTTATTAAAAGAGATAGTAATTTATTCGTATCTCCACTAACTCGCCAGAAACGGAGCATACCATGATGAAAAAAGACCCAGATTTGACAAATACGAGCTTTTATCGCCAAAGTGTTTGTTATTATTAAGAGGAAAAAGCAAAGTATATTTTGAATTTTTTATTAAATTTTTAATGCATTCTAGCACGTCCGATGTTTTTGTTAAAACTTTTCTTGCGTCAGTGGCAGATGAGTGGAGATTTTAATGTCTTTCTTGCGGTAAATAACACAAAGATTGCAAATTCTTGCAAAAATCAAATAACTATCGGATTTAATGCCATTTTCAGGATTTTTTTTACAAATGAATTTAACTATATTTTAAATTATTTTTTTTTTTAGAAAATCTTAGTAACTTTTTTCTTTAGGTCTTAATCTTACGAAATTTGGAGAAATTAAAATTTTACCTCTTCGTATTTATATTAATTAAAAGCAGGAGTCCTTGAAGAATATAAATCATCATTTTTTTATGAAACCGAATCACCATGTATCATTTATAAAGTTTTAATTTTTTTTTTTAAATGTGTATTAATTTTGCCCTTTTAGATAGTGTCATTATTGAGTAAAAACTATATTTGCTCATGAGAAATGGAAAAGCTTAGGACAAATTATCAAAGATCAATTTTTTTCAAGAATTTTGAATTTTTCTATGAGTATAAACGTGTCGATCTTTGTAGATACGGGAGAGCATGCACAGCATTATCAGAAAATAAGAGCTATGTCTATAGTAAATTTGAAGCCAAAATATATAAAATCCAATAAAACATTACATTACACTGAATATTTTCTTAGTTTTTTTATGATTACTCAGTACTTAAAACTCATATATAAAAGGCGGTCACGTTATATTCAATTATTTTTTACAGATAGAGAACAATATTAGATAAACATCAATCTGTCATCAAGTTGCCATCACATCAACAGATTAAATAAACAACTACCGACTTGTTATAATTACTTTTCTGTGTTATTTAAACTTGAAGTAAATAATATTTGTTTCAAGTCATATTAATTATATTCAAATCAGCTAATATTCCTCAAAAAAGGATCTTTTATTTGTGCAAGATTTTTTAATAACGGAAGTAAATTCATTATTTACGTTATTCGGACTATTGTCCTCATCTTTTTCGCCATATCTACCACAACGTTTCGGCCGTTGTACGCTCCGGCCTTCTTCAAGTGGTTGGAATGTCGAACGAACCCTTTATTTCGCTCACTGGGGTAGAGTGTTCTAGTTCCACGTTTGATGGATGTCAGTTTCTGTCAGTTATCAGTTATCTCCTGTTAATTCCCCACTGCCTTAACTGGGTATTGAACTCACACTCTTTGGGTCCTGTCACTGGATCTAACCAACGGCTTTATCCACTGTGCCACGTGTCCTCGGAAGTAAATTCATTCTGATAACATGTGGCTAAAAATAGCGGTAAATCAGGCTAAGCGCCACACATGATACACGTTTAGGTAATCATGTATCTTTCGGTACACGACTGACGAAGCAGAAGATTTTACCCACAGTAGCTTGCCATTTCTTTCTGCTGTAGACCAAACAATTCTAAAGAACCGAATCTATCCTCCTAGCTGGGGGGGAGGGGAGAAGAAATGGTATTCGTCGGTAAGTGAATATAATGAACGTGGATGGTATTCGAACTAGGTCCATGCGAATTCTCGTTCCGAGTCGATATCCATTGCACCACAGAATACACCTTCACGAGATAACACATTTTTTTTTAATATGATATATTTAAAACGAATAACGATAAAAACAAAAAACAAACGCTCCCGAAAGCAGAATGATGTCGGTCGTGACACTTGGGACGCCATTAATTTTAAATATGAAGTTAACCATTTGTTGCATATTCAGCATTTCTCCCACATATCATTTCGACATTTAATCTTCTTCGAAGTAGTCCCCTTTTGAAGCCACGCATTTTCTCCAGCGTCTTTCCGATTATTAGAAACTTTCCTTGAGCTGTTTTTTTTATATATTTTTTTTTAATTTTTTGCCACAGCGAGTAGCTTCCTCGTCGCAGTCTCTTGTATTTCAACAATGTATTAAAATCGATCATGGGGAGGTGAGATGACTACACTCTACACACTTTCCTTCCATGTACTTCTATAAACAGACGTAAGTGAGAACGCTATAACTTTATGTGTATGCTTGACGGAGTTCAAGCAGCTTCATTTTCTGTACTTTAGCTCGGTTACCATAACAACAGTCCCGGTAGTTTTTGATCAGACCTCGAATGTTCTATTTTGTATAATTATATCTAATTTCTGCTTATGTTACAAACATCTGTTGTATATTTTATCCTCGCTGACGCCAGATTATGCGTCCGTGCTAAAGGATCTATCTTCAAACGATTAAACGTAATATTGTGATGGAAATTGATGCTTCTGGCCTTTCGTAGTCAGGATGCGACTGACTGTGTTAAAGATATTATTTTCTCGGCCGCCCAGTTCATACGACACGAGCATCTGTTACATTTACTGCCACCGCTTCCTGATCTATGTCGGGAAATGAACACAGTGAAGGTAGACAGTTATGAATCGATTTCTGACGTGGGAGGAAGGTGAGTAGTTTTAGAGATCTTAACAAAGCACTAGTAAATGGGACGAAGACGATGATGGGAAACGCCCTGAAAAGCACGTCCAATCCTAGTTTTGTTGCAGTTAGGCAAACCATCGATTTTTCTTTTTCTATGGTAATTATTCCATCGCGGTAATCCACGTGAAACCGCCCTTCCCTTGAACTACATGACGTACCTGCACTTATAAAATTTCTATCGAACGCATAGCACATGTATATGACGAAAAAGTCACTACCACAATCCTCGGGGCAAAAAATGACATAGACTCATTCTTTATTCTTTCGCCAATGTAAAGAAAGACAACGAATGTGATATTCTCGTATGAGTGACTATTTTCTACTCGTATAATGTAGCCTGAGTGGTCTTTTTGTCTTTCCTCTGGGATGGGTAACTAATCCCTGTTGCAGACGCCTACTCAGGCACTTTTCTGTTTCTTCATCACCCACTGTTATATACCGTACCTATGAAAACTAATGGGTATGTCGCAACCCTCATAAATACATTGGACACTATTGTAAGAAGGGGTAATATGCTGTCTAAGTAGTCCACCACGAGCAGTGGTTTACCTACTTTACACCGCTGGCGAGTATTATATTTTGTTGATATTATAAAGATTACCATTTCATTTCCAGTCTCCGTTTTGGTTATTCCTCATTCAGTAACCCTTTCCTAGGTTACAACATAGATAGATAGATAGATAGATAGATAGATAGATAGATAGATAGATAGATAGATAAGGAACAGACAGTAATAAGTAGTTTTATATACCATACCTATGAACAATAATGGGTATGTTCCAATTCTCATAAATACGTTGGACACTATTGTAAATGGGTTAATATGCATTCTAAGTAGTTCACTAATAGCAGTGGTTTACCTACTTCATGCCGCTGGCGAGTATTGCATTTTTTAATGTTATAAAGACTACCATTTCATCTCCAACCACCTTTTGATTATTCCTCATTCAGTAACACATACTAAGTTACAACATAGATAGATAGATAGATAGATAGATAGATAGATAGATAGATAGATAGATAGATAGATAGGGAACAGACAGTAATAGATAGTGTTATATACCGTACATATGAACACTAATGTCCCAATCCTCATAAATACGTTGGGCACTATTGTACGTAGGGGTAGGATGCTGTCTAAGTAGTCCGCGATTCGCAGTAGTTTACCTACTTCAGGCCGCTGGCGAGTATTGTATTTTGTTGATGTTATAAAGATTACCACTTAATATCCAACGTCCATTTTGGTTATTCCTTATTCAGTAACCGTTTCTAGGTTACAACATCCACAGAAACAACCTTTGGTTTATGCTGCAAGTATGCTGACTTTAATGAGGACGGATGGCTTGGAAAATGTGATACTCACAGGACAGATTGTAGGAAAGAGGTACAGAGGAAAGCAGCGCGAAACATACTTGATGGGTTTGAATAAATGGGTTGTAGAGCAGGGTTTGGGGGAAATAACAAAGACAAAACTTATTAAGAGCTACAAAGGAAAGGAAATTGTGGAGGGCCATGATCGCCTATATTTTGAATGGAGACGGCATATAAAAGAAGATGGATTTCATCACATTTTCCTTTACTAACTTATCTTGGTTGATTACATGTTTGATGAAGGCAAGTACGTTAAACCCTCGGCCACGATGACTTGTGCATTCCTGGTAGCATGGACGGATTCCAGGCGTTTTCGCTTATCCAGTGTCACTCTCCTTTTAAACAAAATGAGCCAAAATTAATAAATGTCATTAATGCTGCAGAAAATATGAAATAAAAATTAACAAAATGGGCTTCTTTACTCTAGTCTTCTTCTTCTTCTTTGTGCCCCTTCCCTTCGGAATATTGGCGATCTAGCTCTCCACAATTTCCTATCGATTAGCGCTTTTTTTCTCCCTTTGCTAAGACCCTAACTCTGTTCTTTTATCAATTTCTCACAATTTCGTCAATTGTTACTCGCTATTTTTCTCTTTCTCCTTTCCTTCAATATACCCTGTAAGGATTACGTTTTCCAAGTCCTTCCTATATACTTTTCCTAAGTTCATTCTATTGAAATTCGTTGCTTACTTGCTGCCACTATGGAATTCTCAGTATCCTTCTGTAGAACAACATTTCTTCTACTTCCAGTTTTTTCCTCAACCGTAGAGAGATTGTCCAACATTCGCTCCCATATAAGTTGCGCTTTACTACGTCTTTTAAGACACTTCCCAGACATGCATATGTTTCATCTACTTTTCTCCTCATCTATGAGGAGATTGTCCAGTATTCGCTGCCATATACGAGGACTGATACTATATAACAGGTTATTTTGCCGCACGTCTCCTCTTCCTCTCTGAGGAGATTGTCCAGCATTCACTGCCATAGAGGAGTATTGATGTTACATCATAATTCAGCATCCTTCTCTTTGTATCTTTTGGGTCCTGATAAAGGCTTTAGTTAGATGTAGTGACTGGACCCAAAGAGTGTGAGTTCAATACCCGCTTAAAGCAGTTGAGAACATGAGAGGGGAATTAACAGGAGATAACTGATATCTATTAAAAATGTCACGTGGGACTAGAACAGTATAACCCAGTCAGCGAAATAAAGGGTTCATTTCGACATTCCAACCACCTGAAGAAGGCCGGAGCGTACAACGGCCGAAACGTTGTAATAAATATGGCGGTAAAGATGAAGACAATAGTCCGAATAATGTACATTGTAAAAGCTATATAAAGTACGAAGAAACAGAAAAAATACGCTATAAACAAAGGAAAGAATACTTAACTGTTATTTAATATCAATCCGCTTGTATGGTAGCGAATAATGTACATTGTAAAAGCTATATAAAGTACGAAGAAACAGAAAAAATACGCTATAAACAAAGGAAAGAATACTTAACTGTTATTTAATATCAATCCCCTTGTATGGTAGCGAATAATGTACATTTTTCTATATAAAGTACGAAGAAACAGAAAAAATACGCTATAAACAAAGGAAAGAATACTTAACTGTTATTTAATATCAATCCGCTTGTATGGTAGCGAATAATGTACATTGTAAAAGCTATATAAAGTACGAAGAAACAGAAAAAATACGCTATAAACAAAGGAAAGAATACTTAACTGTTATTTAATATCAATCCGCTTGTATGGTAGCGAATAATGTACACTAAAAAGCTATATAAAGTCGAACGAAGAAACAGAAAAAATACGCTATAAACAAAGGAAAGAATACTTAACTGTTATTTAATATCAATCCTTGTATTTTAGCGAATAATGTACTGGATCAAAAAGCTATATAAAGTACGAAGAAACAGAAAAAATACGCTATAAACAAAGGAAAGAATACTTAACTGTTATTTAATATCAATCCGCTTGTATGGTAGCGAATAATGTACATTCTAAAAAGCTTATATAAAGTACGAAGAAAACAGAAAAAAATACTTATAAACAAAGGAAAGAATACTTAACTGTTATTTAATATCAATCCCCTTGTATGGTAGCGAATAATGTACATTGTAAAAGCTATATAAAGTACGAAGAAACAGAAAAAATACGCTATAAACAAAGGAAAGAATACTTAACTGTTATTTAATATCAATCCCCTTGTATGGTAGCGAATAATGTACATTGTAAAAGCTATATAAAATACGAAGAAACAGAAATCTTCCATATTTTAAACAAAGGAAAGAATTTTAACTGTTATTTAATATCAATCCGCTTGTAAAAGCGAATAATGTACATTGTAAAACTTATATAAAGTACGAAGAAACAGAAAAATACGCTATAAACAAAGGAAAGAATACTTAACTGTTATTTAATATCAATCCCACATATATATAGCGAATAATGTACATTAAAAAAGCTATATAAAGTACGAAGAAACAGAAAAAATACGCTATAAACAAAGGAAAGAATACTTAACTGTTATTTAATATCAATCCCCTTGTATGGTAGCGAATGCTAGAAAATATCCCCAGAGATAAAGAGAAACCTGTTCTGCTCAGTTTTTCGGATTCTGATTATAAGAGTTCTTTTTTGTTACCATTTTCCATAAGTTTTCTTTGCTGCTTACACGTTCCATCCATGGAATTCTCAGAACCTTTCTGTAGAACTATATTTCTGTTTCATCTACTTTTCTCCTCATCTATGGGGAGATTGTCCAGTATTCGCTGCCATATACGAGGACTGATATTACATAAAAATTCAACAGTCTTTTTTTTTGTTTCTTTTGCCTCACGTCTCCTCTTCCCCTTTGAGGAGATTGTCCAGCATTTACTGCTATAGAGGAGTATTGATGTTACATCATAATTCAGCATCCTTTTCTTTGCTTCCAATGAAGCTTTTTAAATGCATCTTTTGCTATTCTAATACGCGTTCGGATTTAGATGTCGTATTTTCAATTCTAAGTTAAATTATCCTCCATCGCATCTAAACTTGTATATTTTTTTTCATTTTGGCATGTCTCGTCTCTTAGGCTTTTTTTTCACTTTAGGACATCCATACATTGTTTTCTTTTTTGTTTCTTTGTTGAAACGCATGCCAACTCCTTATGGGTCATTTAATGCCGAAATTTAATTTTTTTTTTGGGGGGGGGGTTACGAAATAATAAAATATGATATATGTTATTCTGCTTTCATGATTGAATACGTAACAAATTATACTCTATTTTGGTGCATCTACAGGTTTGTATGAACATAATTACTAGAGTCGGTGATGTGTGTGCTATATTGTACTTTTGTTTAAGTTATATCGTAATTCTCCATGTATAATACGCATTTTTTTCTAAAAATAATAAGCAATATCGGGGGTTCGTATTGTACACAACTACAAAAAAATCTTTAAAATTTGCCGTAAAATAAAATAAGCATATCATTAAAAACTAAATTAGAAAAATATTATTCTATGTTTAAAACCGTTCTTTTTAAAGTAAGAGTAGGAAGCGCCGGCTGTAATGAAATTAGACAAGTACAATTTATAGGGTTTGTTTTCCAAACAAGGGGTGTGTATTATTTATGAGTAGAAGCATTTTCACACTTTCAGCACAATTTTAGGTGTACGTATTATGGATGAAGGCGTATTATACATGGGGAATTATGGTATTTTGAAGTGTAGTTTGATTTCTTCATTTGTACGATATTATATGGCTTCATGTCATGAAAGAGTTCATTCATGTTGCATGTGTGGGTGATTTTGTTTAGTTGCATATCAATCTCTATAGGTTATTTAATGCCGAAATCTAAATATTTTGCACAAAATTTATTGATTTAACTAAATATACTTTAAACAAAATTATATGCTTTTAACTACAGATAAAATGTATTGCATGTCATACTATAAATATGTCATTATACTGTAAATATGTATTATTGATCATTATACTATAAATATGTATTATTGATCGTTATAATATAAATATGTATTATTGATCATTATAATATAAATATATATTATTGGTCATTATAATATAAGTATGTATTATTGGTCAATATAATATAAATATGTATTATTGGTCAGATTATAAATATGTATTATTGCTCATTACAATATAAATATATATTATTGGTCATTTTACTATAAATAGGTATTGTTGGTAATTTTTTAACATAAATATGTATTACTGGAATTTTTACTATACAGATGTAATTTATACTTTCATAGACCCGAGAAGAACAACAATTAAAAGGTGGTTCCACCCTCCTCAAAACCTCCAATCTCTCGATCAGAGGCCTTGCTTCCGGGTGTAGTTTATCGTCACACCCAGGACTAGCAATTAAGAGGTGGTTCAACGCTCCTCAAAGCCACCAATTACCCGATCAGAGGTCTGGCTACCGGATCTAGTTAATCTCCATACCCATGACAAACAAATAAGGAGTGGATCTACACCCCTCAGAACCTCCAATCTCCCAATCAGATGTATTGCTACCGGATGCAGTTTATGTTCATACCTTGGACTAGCAAATAATAGTTGGTTTAACACTCCTCAAAACATCTGATCGGGAGAGTGTATGTTTTGAGCAGTGTAGAACCAGTTTTTCTGTCGAATGGAGTTTATCGTCATACCCAGGACTACAGTTTTTATATAATTTCTGGTTCGTCCTATCGTCTTCTGTAGAATCACTTATCTATTACTAAATTTCTAGTCTTCAGTTTTGAAGAAAATGTCCGACATTCACCAGACTTATTCAAGCTATAAAGAGAGGCCGCCTGGGTATGATATTCAAGCTACACAGCGAGGCCTCCTGGGTATGATTTATTCTAGCTATACATCGAGGCTTCCTGAGTATGATTTATTCAAGCTACACAGCGAGGCCTCCTGGGTCTGACTTATTCACGCTACACAGCGAGGCCTCCTGGATATGACTTATTCAAGCTATACAGCGAGGCTTCCTGGTTATGATTTATTCAAGTTACACAGCGAGGCCTCCTGGGTATGATTTATTCAAGCTTTTCAGCGAGGCTTCCTGGGTCTGACTTATTCAAGCTACACATCGAGGCCTACTGGGTCTGACTTATTCAAGCTACACAGCGAGGCCTCCTGGGTATGACTTATTCGAGCTATACAGCGAGGCTTCCTGGGTATGATTTATTCAAGCTATACAGCGAGGCTTCCTGAGTATGATTCATTCAAGTTACACAGCGAGGCTTCATGGGGATGATTTATTCAAGCTATAAAGCGAGGCCTCCTGGGTATGCCTTATTCAAGCAAGACAGAGCAGCCTTCTGGGTATGACTTATTCAAGCTATACAGCGAGGCCTCCTGGGTATGACGATAAACTACATCCGTGTCATGGGTAAATCAATAAACTACGTCATACAGCAAGGCCTCTGATCAAGAGGTTTCGAGGAGCATGGAACCACCTCTTAATTGCTGGTATTCCCATGTCCTCCTTAACCCGGGGTGGTAGCACCTGTTAGGGTCCCAACTATGTGAAAATAGTTAACCCCGAAACTGAGGTAAAAATCAATAAGAAAGTGTAAAAATAGGTTTTAATAGCAGAAATACTTTGTAAAAAATGATTACCAGAGATAATTTTTTGAAGGAAAAAAAACTGTTACCAATAAAAAATTTTTGAAAAAAATATTATCAAAAATACGTTTCTGAAAAAAAAAATACCAGCAATACATTATTCAGAATAATATTACGAGATATACATTTTTGAGGAAAAAATATATTACCAGAAAAAGATTTTTGACAAAGCAAAATATTACCAGCAATAAAAATTGTCGGCATTAAATGACTCACTGAGGTTGATATGCGGTAAAACAAAATAACCTAACCCTATACAGCGAGGCAATACTAAAAGAATTATAAGTCCTTTCAAAATTCATTATTAGCAACGACAATCTTAACAATATAAGATATGCAGATGACACGGTGTGAGTAGCAAACAAGGAAAGGAAACTACAAAATCTCCTACTGATGGTAGCGAAGGAAAGCGAGAAGAAAGGACTAACTATAAAATACAAGAAGACAGAATGCATGGTTACCAAGAAAAGGATGAGCCCAAAATACAAATTACAAATCGGGGATACTAAAATCAAACAAGTACAGGTATTTACATATCTGGGAATTGTTCTAACACAGGATGGAAAGTGCGACACTGAGATCTGAAGACGTATATAGAGGACCAAAGATGCTTCCTAAAAGCTTAGCAGAGTATTAAGAGACAGAAGAACTTCGAAAAAAAAATGAGTACTGGACTGGTTATGTGATATATGTCATCCTCTATGCTGGACAATCTCCTCAAAGATAAAGAAGAGACTTACTTCAAGTGAAATGTGGTTCTGTCGAAAGATGCTGAGGATACGATGGATCGAACAAGTGAGCAACGATGAAGTTTTAGAGAAAATGAAAACAAAAAGGAAACATACTTAAAATCAGGAAGAGGCAGAGGAAATTTCTGGGCGCATAATGAGGAAAGAGTGCTTGGAAAACTTGATACTCACATGAGAATTTGAGGAAAAGAGGAACAGAGGAAAACAGCGCGTAAAGCACCTGATGAACTTAAGCAAATGAACGGTAGAACAGGGTTTGGGAGAAATAACAAAGAGACAAAACTTATTAAGTTTATTATAAACTCTTGGCTCACGTGAAACCGCTGGGAGGCAAGAGAATCCTCTTGACAATTTGGGGATGCTCCAACTCGTTCAGCAATCACTCCCATCGAGTCACACAAATTTTACCAATATAAAATATACAGCTGACACGGTGTTGGTAGCAGACACAGAAAGGAAACTACAAAATCTCCTACTGATGGTAGCGAAGGAAAGTGAGAAGAAAGAACTAACTATAAAATACAAGAAGACAGAATGCATGGTTATCAACAAAAGGATGAGCCCGAAACATAAATTGCAAATCGTGGATACCAAAATCAAACAAATATAATAAATGTGAATATCTGGAAAGTGTTCTAACAGAGGAGGGAAAGTGCAACACTAAGATCCGAAGACGTGTTGGGATGGCCAAAGATGCACCCTAAAAGCTAAGCCGAGTATTAAGCAACAGAAAAAAAATCGCTAGAAACAAAGAAAACACTACTGAACTGTTACCTGATATCTGTCCTCTTGTATGGAAGCGAATGCTGGATAATCTACTCAAAGATGAAGAACATACTTGAAGTAACAGAAACGTGGTTCTACAGAAAGATGTTGAGGATGCGATGGACTGAACAACGACGAGGTTTGGGAGAAAATAGAAACAAAGGGGAAACATACTTAACATTGGGAAGTAGTAGTTGAAATTTCTAGGGTACGTAATGAGGAAGGATGGCTTGGAAAATCTGATACACACAGGACAGTTTGAGGGAAAGAGGTACAGTGGAAAGCAGCGCGAAACATGCTTGATGTGTTTGAATATATATGTTGCAGTGCAGGGTTTTGGAAAAATAACAAAAAGACTAAACTTATGAAGTGCTACAACAGACAGGAAGATGTGGAGCGACATGATTGCCTGCGTCCTAAATGGACACGGCCCATAAAAGAAGAAGATGACTTTCAACACATTTTTCTTTACAACCTTATCTTGGCTGTTCTGTAGTTTTCCATATTCGTATGTTTTACTGTTAAGATTGCGCCATCGATAATAACCTCTGTTACTTTTCTCCAACTCCCTCTGGAATGATTCGCTGTCGGCTCGGTGATTTAAATTTAGATAGGAAGCCACTATCTTGGGTACAACATGATCGTGAGCCACTCTTGGCTCACGTGAAACCGCTGGGAGGCAAGAGAATCCTCTTGACAATTTGGGGATGCTTCAACTTGTTCAGCAATCATTTCCATCGGGTCACACAGATCAATGCAATAAGAGGTCGGAAATTTTCTTTAGAAACCAAGAAAATTGTGCTGGGTCTAATATGTAAATTCTAATAACTTGAAAACAGATAGAAAACAGGATGGAAGTGACAGAATTATGGTAATACCGACAAATACCATAGAAAGTTCAAGGGAGAAGTGTTGTGGTGCCCTCCCTCTAAAGAGTATATGTTGGACTCTTCCGCCTACTATAAAATTAGTAGGAGAGAAGGCCTTGCGGAAACAGTGCCATATCCTGTTCAACTGTCGAACTCACTGCCTCGGCAGAGAGGAACTCGGACGAAGTTTTGCTGCAAGGCAAAGTTTTGCCCGGGGAGGTAGACAGTCCCTGAACCCGTTTAGGCGGGTTCAAAGGGAATATTTTTGGCCGAGCTTACGGGCTCGGAGTACCCACAATAAACCGGCCTTGTGCCACATACACCCTCGTGTCGCTGTTAAATATTAACAGTCATATAGATTGCTCAACTGTCAAACATTCTGCTTCGGCAGAGAGGAACCCGGATGAGGCTTTGCCGCAGGGCAAAGTTTCGTATGGGAGGTAAACAGACCTTGAACCCGTTTATGCGTGTTCTAAAGGAATATTTTTGGCCTAGCCTACGGGCTCGGAGAACCCACGGTAAATTCAACCTTGTGACACATACATCCTTTGTGTGTGTGGGGGGGGGGACTTATAAATATTAACAGTCGAGTAAATCTGTTCCAGCTGTTCAGAGAGGATCCCCCAGACGAGGCTATGTCGAAGTCTTATCTCGAGAAACAGCTAACCAACCCCATTTTATACAGGGTCTACGGGGAATTTTCGACCAAGCCTACGGGCTCGGATTGCCCCACATTAAATTTGGCCTTGTGCCACATCCTACCTCGTGGGGAAGCTGGTAAATATCAACAGTCGAATAGACCTGTTCCAGCTGTGCTGGTCAAACTCTTTGCCTCCGGACAGAGAGGATCCCCAGACGAGGCTGTGTTGAAGGGCAGAGTCTCGTCTCTTGAAACAGCAACCCGACCCCGTTTTATACGTGTGTAAAGGGGAAATATATGTAAATCACCTTCTCTGTCCTTTGAACAGAAGTAGATGTTTATTCCACGTCTCATGTTAAGGATTAGTTTTACGATTCATTCTTCTAAATTCCTCTCATTCACTCCCAATAGCCTCTTGCGACTTGGTGGCATTATCGCCTTTCTTGGGGTGAAATGATTAAAAAAACATCAAAAACGTTGAGATAAAACAACAATGATGGGGACAATATATATATATATATATATATATATATATATATATATATATAATATATATATATATAAGAAGAAGTTTAAACCAGCATCAGTTGCTTAATTCCAATTTTACGATATTTTTTACCACAACCTGTCGTTGAACTCCAGTTTGTACCAGCATCGGTTGGTTAATTTCATTTTTATCATTTGACTAATTTAATGTTTTACCACTATCGGTTAGTTAATTCAAATCTCTTGGATAATTCCAATTTTTACCAGCATCAGTTGGTTTATTCGATTTTTTACCAGCAAACTTTGAATATAATTATTTCTTAATTATTTCTTCTTCACATAAAAAAGAACCAGGAGAAAAACCTTATCAGAATAGTTGCCATGAAAATATTTATAGAAACGTCAGAAAGAAGCCACGTCAGGTCGGTAATTAAATGACTGGTGTCAAAATGACTGGTCAGGATCTTTTACATTTCAGACCCTTTGGATTTTGTTAAGAATTCCGAGAATTACAGTAGGAGCTCTAGACTAGGTATGTCATCAGCATTCAATCCACGGACGAATGGTAGGTTTCTAAATGTGCAAGATGGATTCCGGCGAGAAAATTCTTTTGGCACGACACAGTGACCCAACTTTCTTGTAGTAGACGTAGCATTTGATTTGATGTAGTCGCTCCACTTCATGTCAGTGCAAAACGTGAGTCCAGGATTGTGTAGAGTGTTGTCCTCCTGGAGTTTAGCAGCAGCCATGCTGATGGCAGACAGAAAGATTCTCTGTGGTGATTAAATGAATTGGTTTTGTTTTGAAGGTGTTAAAATTTAAAAACCATATCTTACCCCAGTTAACCACTGATTGGAGATTTTTTTTCAACATTAACTGCCAGATTTATTTTGTCATACTGTCGGATTTGCTTCTATCAAAGAAACAAATAGTTGTGTCATTTTCATAAATACCTATTTGAGAACTGATGACAGCGGGTAGAGCATTATATGGCTGGAGTGCTGGAAGAAGTGATAGATACCTTATTTAAAAAAAAAAAGAAGTAATCTCCCCTGTTACATCTCATTGTTCATGACATATCTATCAATAATAATATGAAGTCAACTTTTTTTTTCTTTTCTTTTTGTAAAATTGTAAGGAAAATAGTATTCTGGAAATGTCATATTTTTCAGTTCAATCATGTCTTTTCTCAGGAAAAAAAATTGTAAAAGTAGATTCATCAGATTTGCTCGAAATTTGAACGCAGCATGTCGATTCCAATTTTAGCGCTGATAGCCGTTATGCGATCAGTATATTCTCAACAAGTGTATATATTTGTTAAAAAATCTTAATATCATTTATTGAGTCTTATCCATTATTAATTGGTTTGTTTTTCTTCACTGTTTATCTAAGGACGTTCTTAGTTTAATCTCTGTTTGATATTTGTTATTGTACAAATAAATGAGATAAAATTTATCTGCAGACAGTAGGGCTGGTGTCTAGAGAAATGAAAACAAACACACGAGATACAAAATTTTATTTCGGTTGTGGAAACAGACACTGTTAATGGATGAAATATAAAAAAAATGTAAAGGAGATGTGAGGGTGTTTAAAACAAAGTGTCAACTTTACCAGCAGACGCCACTCCTGAATAAATACATCTCCGGTTTTAAATAATAAGTTCCCAGATGCGTAGTGAGATTTGGTTTGGTGGTCATCGACCCATAGTCACTCATGGGCCTAATAATGATGATGAATCATTTTCTATTCCCATTCCGACAAATCCAAAGAAGAAAAAAAGCAGCTGACAGGTTTTCGTTCCTCTGTCTTCAAAACTCGATTGCGAAATCAAAAACAAATGTGAACCACGACTAAAAGGGGAAAACATTCTAAATGACGATAAGATATACACATATAATAGGAATATAAAAACACTCCTCCCTATATATGTATATATATATATATATATATATATATAGTATATGAAAAACTAGGTAATCTGTATGGGTAAACCTTAGGAGGATAAAATCCAGAGAGCTCAATGTAAATCCAGAGCAAATAATGTAAATAAAAACAGACCACTTTAAGGTTCCATGTAATAAATTATTTCACCACAGCCTTTTTTAAGGACTGCGGATCATCAGACTTTACTTCCAAATGTTGAAACAAAAAAAAAAATTGTTTCAACATTTAGAAGTAATGTCTGATGTTCTGTTTTTATTTAAATATATATATATATATATATATATATATATATATATATATATATATATAATTATTTATTTAAAAATATGATTCCAACACGCTACATAAGAGTTCTCATGTTTCAAAACAAGAGCCGAAAACTTCAATATAATTATTTGAATTAAAATAAATTAAAGTAGGTTCTGTTTCATCTTCAAGCAAAAAAATTTTGGGGAATAATTTATTTCTGAAATTTACGTGTTTTATAAGCATATTCATTATTAAAATCAAAATTTCTATGGTAACGGCTAGAGCAATTTTTTAAAGAAAAAGGGGCGTAAGGTGTTAATAATTTGTATCAATATCTCGGTTACATTCACAGATGTCAAGTCAGGGTAAGGTTGGGGTGTCTAAATTTAAAGCGGAAGATGACAATGCTAGTCTGGTTAAGCGTCTATGCAGATTT